CGTTGTAATGGTTGTTTCAGTCGTTTTACCTATAATATTTTGCGCGGGAAATTGGTGCGTGTCTAACCAAACTTGACCGATTTCCGCATGCCCTGTGTTTCATCACTGTGTTGCAAACCAGCAGGCTTTACAAATCCACAATAATAGTCCTTTGCTCTCAGCGGTCATTTTGATCGACGAGCCTTTTATTTTTCAAATATTAGTCATCAGGCAGGACTAGAGGAAATAAAAATGATCAACAGTCACTGACCCACTGATGTCAAAGTAATATCCCTGCTTTACAACATGTCAGTCATGCGTGTGAGCGTGAATTTCCCGCTCAAACTAATCTTTTACCTTAGCCAATTTCAGGTTTGATATTTTCATAAAAGGAAGTATTTGAATTTAAGTCTTACTCATTTGATTTGCCGTTGTTTTCGCCATTAAATCTGCGTTCTTTCAAAACTTAAACAATGAAATGCAAAGATGCAAGGCTGCTATTTGCATCACATTAGTACTAGTGTCAATAACCTTTTTCATAACAATGAAATTTTGTACGGGAGGCTTTTATCCCCTAGAAACCATTTACAAACAATTCATTTTTACAGAATAATAGCAGTTTTACTGTTCAGCCCATTTAGTTGGTTTTTCAAATATCTTTTCCTCCGTTTATGTATTTTAAGTCGTTGACATGGCTCGCGAGCTGAAACGAACAAAAATATATTTCGTGGTAAACAAGCCGGTCTTGACTGTGTTAGGGTTTTTGGCGCTATTTTCGGATGGCCAAGAAAGATAGAAATATGCGTTGAAAAATCGTGTTTTATCATCTAATTTAACGAAGAAAAGGCTGAAAATTGACAAAAAAAGTGACCGTGTTGGAAGTTTCTTTTCACATTTTATGACAAGCCTACAGTTCTATTGTTGATATAGAAGACTATGTTTATATATTTTGTATTGCGCTCTTTCAGTTCTAGATGTTAAAAAAAATTTAACTAAATCCTCAATGTGTTTCCTGAGCAGCAACGAGCTTTCAGAAAGGAACGTCGACTACAGCTAATTTTAAACCTTTTTTACCGCCGTACAATTAACGCTTAATTAGCTTGCTTTCCGGGACAAAGGCGACAGAAGATTACATTTGCATAACGAGCACAATCGGTTTTGTAAGTTCCTTATTACGACGCTTTCTTGTTTGGACGTAAGAAATTACGCTACGGTTGTAAGGAGCTCCAGCGGTGGATACGCAGCAAATGGCAGGTAAATAAGTCAGTGATTGCATTGGTTAGAACAAGTTATTTACCTTCATGGAATTTTTCAGTTTTAAACCTTGAAGTTGACTGTGTTGCCACTTTAGCGCGATACTGTAAACACAGACACTTCTACGTCTTAATTTACAGTGCTTTTGGTTATTTCATAGAGTTAATTGAGGTCTTCGAGTAACGGTTTGTAGCGGTTACAATACAGTTAATCCTGTGTATTGTTGAGTAATAGTCCAAGATATTGTCGAGCGGAATAAGTTCTTTGAGCATAAGCTCAGTTACATAAGTTGAATTCGATTTCTTGAAGAATAATAAACGCAGAAGTACAGGACGACTCAGATGACCGAGACTGAAATGAGATCGAAAAGCTTTCATCGATCACTTAGACCAGGATTTGTGAAATAAATAAAACCGTATTTTTAAAATTTTTTTCTAAGAACGAAGGTAAAGAGGACTTGAACAACAATTAATAAATATGCACCTGCCTCTTTTAAGCGGGCTGTGAAGAAAAAATACTTTCTCTATAGTTTAACTTTTCCATCAAGGTTCAATACTCTGTCATTAACGTCTCGAGTTATTTGTATGGAAAGTACCATTCTTACGAAGAAAGATTACGAGTGAGGCGGTTAGAGGAGCGTCAATGAAGAGCACACTCAGATATTCATTGACCCGTATAAAAACCTTTGTTCGTTTGAAACCGCAAGGCGGAAATAACAGATTACAGTGATAACTGTTTTAAATAAGTCTCGCATTAATTGAACGGAAACTCACCCAGTCACCCCTCCCTCAATAAGAGATTGGTCATTAATTAGCGCACCAGGGGGAGGGGGGGTGGAAAGGATATGAGGATTTTAGTTGTGTCACAATTAAATTTACCTAACCTCCCCTCTAAGGTTCTGTTGTATTCAAATGATACCCCCTCATTAGCAGTAAATTTACTAGTCCCCGCCTTTTTACTCCGTCATAAACGACTGATTCTCCCTCCATCCCCCCCCCCCCGCGAAAATCCTTTCATCCACCCCGGCGAGAAATAAAGACTAATCCCTTTCTATAATGAACCACTCGGCGGACATCTGTTTTATGCAGACTGGGAAACCAAAAATAACCCCTCGCGATACTTGAAGGAGAAGAGTAATTCTTTAATTATTTTAAATCAAATTTTAGACGGAGACATGGTAACCACCAAAGTTGCTCTCTGTGACTGGTTTTTATTCATGGTGTCCTACCCAAGAACACAACCGCTGACCAACACACAAAAATTCACCCAGTGGTCGGCCCTGATCGCCTATTGCCTGGGAGGAGCCAGTTTGCTTCTTTGCCCTCAGCTGTGGAAGTTTTTGTTACAGTTAAGCTTCGAGGGTCGTACTGAGGGGTACCTTCGTCTTGTTGGATTGGGTGTATTTATAATTGGATTTATACTCGTCATCTCCGCGCGCTCCAATAACCAAGTACCCAGGCACGGGGTCATTTTAGGGTCCATTCCATCGCGTCTCATCGGCGTAAATGGGATCATACTCATGATGGTCCTCAGAGGCTATATCCCGTTATCTTTTGCGCTGGTGTTCATGGTGATCGATACATCACTTCCCCTGACCACCCTGGTGTTATTGCGCCGTGAAACAGAAGAATCCTCTTCGGGAATTTCTTGCCGAAACATCTGCGCAGAAATGGTAGTCATCTTTTTCGTTGGCGTGTTCCAGTTGTTCTTCTGGCTCGTGTTTCTTATAAGGCCTGACATCGCTTATGACATCCTACAGCTTGATGAGTTCAATGGTCACTCCGCTGGCTTCTTGGCAAGTGCGTTTTTCACCCTATCCATTCATGGTTGGTATCACATAGCGAACGCATGCACTGTTAATCGACCGGCTGTCCCAGCGGCCTTTTTTTACCGAGTATTCATCAGTGTACCGGTGCTAGTCATTTTGGTTTTGGTGGATCAGATTGAGCGCAATCTTTTCCTTGCTTTGATGAGTCTCGACATATGTTTTTCGATTATGATTTTACTATTTCTGGCTTTTGGCCAAAGTCCTACCACATCGTCAACTGAGATTTCTGAAGAAACACTGCTAAAACATGAAGATAGAGACTAAATTGTATTGTTAGGAGTAAGATTAAGAACTACGAAAGAGCCTAAAATTGCTGATAAAAGCTTGCTGAACGGGCGTAATTTATTTTGCGTTTTTCAGTGGCGCGGAAACACGGACGAGCGTGAGGCAGGCGCGAGGTAGGCGCGAGGTGAGAGCGAAGTACGAATCACGCGCGAGGGAAATAGCGCGTTTGCCTCTGTTCGCCCGGAAAACGCAAAAAAGCACGCTTGGTAAGCCAGCTAGAACTGGTATTATATTTGTTATGTTGGGGAGGGTTTCGAAGATAATTAAAATTAATCGTAGCCTTGGTTGCAGGCGATGAAAATGAAAGGGAAGGAAAATGTAAGGTTTATTATTTCGCCACTTCGCCTCGATTCTAGGGTAGAACTACATGTAAGACTTAATATAGTGTCAAGAGAAGTAACCACTACAGTGATCAAATGCACAGTCGCACTCTTTATATGAGCAGAGTACTGTTTAATTCTCTGGACATTGCACTCCGTCTTAAATGAAAGATTATTTTAAGCACAGGTCGTCATTCCTTTAGTACTAATACGAAAAAAAGCAAACATCGAAACTAGATTCGTTTCAGGTTTTTAACATTGATTGACAACGAAAAGTAATGGAAATAAACTACATATACAAATTTATCTCTGGCATACACAAGAAACACAATTCAATCGGCGTTATGGAAGGCAGATTCTTAGGAACCCCTTGGGGGGGGGGGTAGGGGATATGTGAATCCCCTTTCAGTCTAAGAAAGAGTTTTTTATAGTGTCCACTCGGCATGGTGAAGACAGGAATCGTCATCTCGCAACAATAACAAATATCAATAAAAATAAAGTCTAAAGGAAACTAGCGACACAGATACGGTAAAATACATGAATATCTGTAATACTGTACTCAATCCCTCCTATACTTTTGCAAACACTCATAGCCTCAAGTACTATTATACAAATACCAGCAAAGCTTTTAGCACAACCTAGGCCTCTCGATTGTGCTCGGCAATTTTAGAGCAAATCTTGGCCTTCGCAGCAACGTTTTGTGGTTCTAATAACCTCGATTGATTTGAGCGAAATATGGGTTTAAAGGAAATATCAAGCACGAAAAAGTCAACGGTTTCATAGAAAAACTTCAATTTGTGCGAATTTCTTGAATTTTTATAAGCTTTTTGAACACATAACCTGTCACTAGACAACGTTTCGCAGACCTTTTGCGATCCTTTTCTAATCTTACATGGGAAAATCCGTTCGAACGACGATCGGCAAGACGTCCAATGAACCATGTGTTTTGTTCCTTTAGACTTACAGAGTTCCTTAAATTTCGTCTATACTCGCGAGCAACTCTTTCAAGACAACTTTTAAGCTATTTTCCTGGGCTGATGCTAGCAATTAGTGCGAAGAACAAAAACTAATTAAAAGCTTTTAATTAACGTGTATATGAAAATATCAAGACACTATGCTGGCAACTTTTTGGATTTTTTGCAATGTTTTAGCAACTTTTTGGCACTCTAGCGAGAAATTTTCCGGCGTTTTACGAGCACAGTCTAAACAGGTCAAGCAGGGCTTGATCAGCTGGGGTACTTTTCTACCTGTGTGTTATTGACAGGGTATTGTCTTAAATATGGCCAACTTCAAGTGCTCCACCCTTTCCCCACTCTCTCACGGCGCGCGATTGTCTAAGGGACCAAACCTTATTTACCGCCGGGGTGGGTGCGGGAAATTTTGGTTCTGCAACAATAAAATTTACCTGGTCCTCCCTTAAGGCTCATTAACTCATTAATGACCCCCTCTTAAGTTGGAACTCCATCTCCACTCCGTTCCCCGTGAAAAAAGTCAACGGTTAGTCCCAGTTGGATACCGGCTTATTCCTCGTCCCACTTCTTGACAGAAGTAGGCATTGCTCCAATGTAAATAATAGTCAACCTTTGTACATCCTGCGTAAGAGAGAGTTTATCGTTGGTGATATCACCATTGCGATAGTCATTTTCATTATTGTTATCTTATCTATTTTTTAAGTGACCTTAAAGTAGTTTATCTCCCATTCCCTGCTGAGGAAAATGAATTCCGTGTTTCGTGCATGACAATTAATACCATGTTAAATGCTACTCGATTTATAAAAGCTTAGCGTTGTCAATATCACTAAGCTTAAAAGCGAATCTTTTTTGCTTGTTTACATCTTGTTTGCTAGGTCTCGCTTTAATCTTTACCGACAAATAAGGCGAATTAAGGCGAATTAAAAAAATCAGCAAGGTTTTTGCGAACATAAGATTTGACATGAGCTGACAGATCTGAGACGGATGCCCGTGGACTGAAACTTGGTCACAATTAATCTTGAGTATCGATATCCTTCCATCTCAGTAAACAAAGAGGATATCTGCACGCACACCCCAAGCTGTAGGTGTCTACTTCTTCGCTTGTCACAAGCCGAAAGAACTGGTACTTCACTGTTCATCGTTTCAAGTCTTAGTCACTTGATCTGACTATTTTGGTAAGCAAACTTTTCTTTTGGCGGACCCTATGTGCTCGACTCGATTCACATAAATCCTCTTTGCGGCCAAACACCCGAATACAGATTCTTTATCTACACGTTGTTCTGAAACGCCAGTTCCAATTGCAGAGCTTGTCTGCTTTTTTTAAGTTTCCGCTAATAAGAGCGTCGACTGTGTCTAAGAAATCTGAAGCTACCTGTAGTTTCCTCTATTTAACAAACATAGCATTAAACCCTGAAACCTTAACAGTTATCACAGAGCTCTTTGTTCGCTAATAGAATCATACGAAGCGACCTTTGTTATCTCTGTTTTCTTAACGAATTAAGTGGTAACTTAAATTAAAAACATCGTTATTAACCGTGGATGATAACTTCGAAAGATTTTGGTAGGCTTGTTGCAGTTAGGAGAAATAAGATATTCTTAATCTTACCGGAAAAATAAAATTAACGAAGTACAACCAAACGTCACCACATTTTCACCTCACAAGGCTAATCAAGGCACCCCACGCTTCTTGACATTAGAAAAGATAATTTACATTTTTTTCTCTTTGATCTGAATGTGATGTTCAGTTATTATTGCATTAACAAATCAGAGAAGTGGTTAAGGGAGGGGAGGGGAAGGGGGAGCTTATGAAACGGGATTTCCTGTTAATACACACACAAATGATTAAAAAAGTTTTGTGTTTGTATTCGGTTTGAGCTAACCTATTTTTTAAACAAGTTCATGATGCGTCGTAACGATTGTTGAAGGCACAAGGAAGATATACGACGGTTGAAATGAAACACTGTTGCGAAGGAAGTTCCGTGGCAGCCCTAAAGCTATTGACTTCCGGTTTCAGCAAATTTAACAGGATCTCCATCGGAGTCCTTTTTCATCCTAATTATCTTCATATGTCAGCTGAAAATGAATAAATCCATTTCCGTTGGCAGTTTTGTGGCAAAGATATCTTGACTTCATCTCAGCTTGAGTTAAAAAAAAAGGTTAGTTTTAATTAATGGCTGCATGTCTCTCGTATTTCGTTTTACGTCGTTGCCAATGGGATCCACTGTCAGAAAGGATAACTATTTACCTTGAACCGTCAAAAACCTAGCTGAATATTAACTGTCAAGAGCCTCTTGCCACGAGCAGTTCTAGATCTCGACAAATCTTTAGACTGGTACACCAGTATCCTGGTTATATCATAGGCGGCCCAAGCGTGTCATGTGTGATTTCGGGGTTTAAAGGTCGTCAGTAGGAACATCTAATATGCTGAATATGTATATTTAATTCGAGTAGTACAGGCCAAAATTTCCTCAGCATGAAATCCATCATTCTGTCTATTTGTGTTCAATCACTCTTCAGTTCACTGAAATCGATATTTTCTGAATATTTCTCGGTTGTGGGATAAAATTTAAATTGAATTTTAAGTGTTTACTCTTGCCGTGAAAAACAAAGCAAACATTCATGTCTCCTTTCCTCAGAAATGCATAGAGGTGTGAAATTATACCAGTGTCGATATGTTGGTCCATTTCTAGGTAACCAGTCAAGTTTTGTTTAAAAGAGAGCTTTAATAAATGGAAACCAGACAAGGTCGTTGTCGGAATAAATTTCGGCCATGAAAAGATGGCCGATTTATGGCTAAAAATTAAATCTTAAATAATTGATCATGAACGATTTTAAATTTTGTAAGCTCCAACAAAATTTAGGGCACAACAAAAAAGGAAGTGCCCGGAAGACATAAAAACATAAATTAAAACAAAAGAGATCGTGACTCTTGCGCAAAGAACAGTATTGATATCAAAGTCATCAGATAGTCTTGTTACTGTTGCTCAATCGATTTCAGATGTTACGACCCAGTCCCCCTCAAGTTTTAACCCTTCAGTACTCCCTGCCTTTCTTCGTTGACTTAGTATCTTAGTTAAATATTAACAATATAGCAGAGGCAGAAGATATAAATTTTTTTATTAGGGGGCAAATAAATTTATTCAACGCACGAAATGTTACGTGTATAGCTTCCTTACCATTATTCCGCTATTTTGAAAAGAG